TCAAATGAATGCGTGTGTAGTAATTTGTTTTGCCATTTTTACCTTGAGGGATGTTTAAAGTTTAGTATTACAAACAGCATAGTACACATACTTTATGTCTCTCTTTTTGAGGTATTACATCTCTAGCATTGGTTCTAAATGGAATTACTGGACCAGGGGTTGGCAGATTGCCATAAAATCAGTGCTTACAAATATTAATAATATTTGTTGTTCACAAAGACTTTTCTTGAGAGTGGTGGGATTCAAATTTAGGCCTTCTACCTTGAGAGGCTGTGTACTGAACTTGTCTATTTCATATGCCTTTGTGTCCCCATCAGAAAATAAAGATAATAATAGTTTACTACTATGTACTACTTATAGCTTACTGTGTAACATTGCCACAAAATTGTGGTTTAAAACAATAAAACTCAACTATTTCAAGTTTCTGAGAGTCAGGAACTTAGGAGCTGCTTAGCTCTGTGGTTCTTCAGTCTTTCATGAAATTACAGTAAGGGCTACAGTCATCTACTCTAAAGGCTTCACTGTGACTGGAGGATTCCTCCCATGGCTAACAGCTTGGTGTTGTTTATTGACCAGAGGCCCTAGTTCCTCCCCATATAGACTTCTTCCCATACTGCTTGAGTGTCATCCAAACAGGGCATCTGGCTTCTCCCAGTGTGAGTGAGCCAAGAAAGCAAGACGGAAACAATAGCTTTTATATATAAAGCAGCCTTGGAAACCACAAACTTTCACATTGACAGTGTTTTATTGTTGTGGACTGGCCATAATTCATTGTGGGAAGGTGTATACAAAAGCTTGAATACTAGGAAGCCGAGGTCTTTGGTGGCCTTCTTGGAGGCCGGCTACTACAACCTCATAAAGGTGTAGTGGCAATTAAAAGAGTTGATTAAGGGCTGGTGGTGTGGTACATTGGGTAAAGCTGCTACCTGAGATGCTGACATCCTATACGGGCATCTGTTGAGTCCCGGCTACTCCACTTCAATCCAGCTGCTTGCTAATGGGCCTGGGAAAGCAGTGGAGAATGACCCAAGTACTTGGGCCCCTGCACCCATGTGGGAGACCTGGAAGAGCAGTCTTAATGGAATTGTGAATGTGGTAGGCACTGTCAGAATAAGCAGCAAAATGAGAATAAAGTTGGTATTTTTGTTCATCAACACTGTGCTTTGGAGTATTTTTTAAGAACATGAGACTAAGTGGAGGAGATTGTGCAGTTAGGACATGGGGTTGTGAAAAGTTTTTGTTTTATTTCTAAGGTGATAGAGAACTGGCTCTGTTGTTTGAATGCCAGTGAATTGGCTTTGAGGGAGAGGTTGACAGTAAAGCTGGGAGAAGGTAGCAATGTAATGGATCTAGCAAGGTACTGGAGAGCACTGGAAGGGGAATCAGAACAGGTGGAAAGAGTGAGGGTTGAAAGAAAGGGGTGCCTATTTCATTTACGAAGTAGGAAAGAGTTATTGATCGGATGCAGTGAAGTACATTGGTTTGGTGGGAGGATGTTGAGGATGAGTTCCTTTGTTTTCTGTGTTTTGACTAAAGTAGAAAGTGCTCATATGCAGAGAGGGACGTAGAGTTTGGGGAATCAGATTTAGAGGGGAATGCAGGTTTGAAATACTCTTTGGGAGAATGGAAGAAAGGGTTCACCAGGGAGAACGGAAGATTGAATTAATCTTTCCTTTTTCTCTGATAGCATTTAGAAGACTGGATATAAATATGGGTTCACAGATTGTTGGATACACAAAAGGTTAAGATTTATTAGCCAAGTGAGATATGAGTATGACCCCAGAGTAGGTGTATACTGACAGAAATAAATTCACTTGTGTTGGTCCAAACATGTTTGCCTCGCAGTAGCAGCAGAAAAAGTCAGTGATATTAGGAAGTTGTTAGGATTGGATGTGTTGTCTAAGCTAAGTAACAAGGTAGTGACGATTGAATTGAAAAGAGAAACTCTAGCCACCAGAGTCTTAATGAAGTCCCGGCACTGTGGTGTAGTGGGCTGGTTCACTCTCCAAGTGGTCCAGGTACTCAGACCATTCTTCACTGCCATCTCAGGGACATTAACAGGGACCTGGATCCGAAGTGGAAAAGCCAGGACTGAAACTGGCGCTCCTGACTTGCCAGTTTTTTTGTTTTGTTTTGTTTTTCATTTATTTTAGCAAGAGCTCCCCTCCTCTGGTTCACTCTTTATAAATGCCTGCAGTGGGCAGGGTGGGGCCATGTGGGAAACCCAATCCGGGTCACCCACATAAGTGGTAGGGACTCAACCATTTGAGCCTAATGCCTCCCAGGGTGCATGTTAACTTGAAGCTACAATCAGATGGAGCCAAGTTTGGAACCTTAGGCACTCTAAAATAAGACACAAGCATCCCTATTGGCATCCTCACCACTAGGCCAGTACATAGTAAATTAGTTGCATTGAACTGGTTTTTAATGTTTTTTAATCACTGTTTTGATTTCTTTAAGGTTATTTAGTAGTAAATGGTAAGAGGGGGTTTTCTTTCCTACTTTTCTTAATATACAGAGGTGGTTTTTTTTTTTTTTTTGTCCTCTTAACTCATTTTGATATACAAAGCTAAAGAGTGGGTCTGTGATTTTTTTTCAATGTATTCAGTATTCTTTGTGGTGTGAATTTTTAAGATATTCTCTGGGCAGTGAAAATAAAAATAATTTCTGTTGTATAGTTAACTGTAGTAATTTATCTTAATTAGCTTTCTCTTAACCTGACAAGAATGAAGTCCTACTTGTTTTCCTGTTTCTTTTACTTTTTATTCCATATATTTATTTTCTTCACATATTTCTCTGCAATATTTATTCATTCAGCATGTTGTAATTAAGTACCCACTATATGCTAACCCACTCTGAGAGCTGGATTCCGTGGTGATACATGTGGTCTGTAATTCATTTGTGGCTTTCACCAAGTGATCACACTTGCAAATACTGCCTCTGTTTTCTCCCTTTGTAAGCAAAAAGGTTTGAAAGGAAATTTGCCATTAACCACAGAGTGCTCCAGCTGTACTCTGCCAGCACTTGGTTGACTTAAGGCCAGTCATTCAGCGTGTAGGATAGCAATTCTGAAACATTTTGATTTCATGACTTTTACTTGCTTATATTTGTCTATATACTATATTATAAATTAAAATTGAGAAAAAATTAATGTTTGCTTAAAACCCATTAAATATTATAATTAACATTTTCATGGAAAATAACTTTGCCAAAACAACAGCAGAGCAGTGAGACAACTGACATCATTTCACTTTTTTGGGGGGGAGGGAATCTATTGTTTGGCTTAATGTAAAATAACTGGATTCTCATTTGCTTCTGCAGTCTTTTGTTGTATGATAAAGCCCCTGGAAAACACTGTATACTTAGCAAGTGAGAATGAACAAAGATAAGTAGTGATTTGGAATCTGCAGACTACCTGAACAGGAGCAAATACTAAGGTTATTAAAGAAGTTGTAGACATTTTGTACTTTTTCAATTTGATTCACAGCATAGACGTTTACCCTGTAGCAGAGAAACAGTATATTACATTGGATAAATGTACAATGTATTACATTGGATAAAGATACGTAATCCATTTTAGTGATGTTTATGTTTTTCCGAGTTCTTTTTTAAAAAGCTTTTACTGTGTTGCTTTTACCATTGAAATTCAGAGTAGAGGAAAATGATATTGAAATTTTTGTGATGTATGTATATTTTCTTTGGGAAATATTAGAATAGCAATGATACTACTGACCCATTTTAAGACGGATAATGTAGCATGGGAGATTTATATGGTATTTACAAATACTCTGCCCTGAAGCTTGGAGTTACAGATAGTCTTGGGTTCTGGCTTCCATTGAGTAGCAGTGTGATTAAAAGCAAGTGATTGACATCTTTATTTCCATTTCTTCATCTATAAAATTGAATGGATGATAGTTCTTCCAGTCCCAGACTTTTCAGCATTATATGAAATATGTATGTTAAGGTACTTGGCAGCTAAATCAGCATTTATCCCTTTTTTTATTTGGGGAAGTACCACCATCACTTCATAGTCATACAAAGAAATTGTATCTTCTTAGCCCTTTCTATCAGACCATTTTGCCTATAAAGCCCACAATGGTCAACTTAAATGATTTTCACAAATATTCTGGAAAATTGAAGGAAATTAATTTCCACCTTGATTCTTGTGCCCTTGCAACGTAGTATGGGTTTGTGAAGACACTCATGTGCCATCCTACTTTCTTACCAATTTAAGAAGCTCAAGAATTACTTTCTAGAAAGCAAGGAAAGTCATGGACTTTCAGGAATTGAAGGGGACCCCATAAAGGTCATGTATTCTAGCCATTCTTCATAGATGAGACTGGCATTGAGAGAAGCTAAGCTATATCATTAAACTCCTTTAAATAGTCCAGTGGTTGTAGGCTTTGACTGAACTTTGGAACCTCCTGTAAAGCTTCAAAAACATACCTGATATCCAGGCCCCACCTCCTGATTACATTTCAGTTGGAATTGATAAAAGTTCCTCCCTTCCCCCATCCCTGTGATTACAATGAAACATCACAGCACTGCTAAAATGGAACATTTGCCTTTTACCATCCTCATTTAGCCTTAACATTGAAGCATTCTTTTTATTAAAGATGAGGCCATTTTATTTCTTAGACATTTCAGGTCAGGGAGCTTTACTTTATTCATTTTTTCCTCTGGGAAATAAGCCTATCTTTTTGTGAATCAAAACTTTTTTATGTTGGAGTCTTTATTTTAAATTTATTTACCAAGTCAACTAGTAAAGTTTTTAAAATTAGGTATTAGAACAGACGGTGCTAAAAGAATGTTTACATTTATCGTACCTAGTAATATGGCTTGATGGTATGGTTTTTTAATGTAACATTAGAAAGACATTAAGTTTTTGAAAGCATTAATAATTGAAAGTTGTAAAAATTTTTATTTCGCATCATCATTCTGATTTCTAGATTGTCGGTTTTTATTTAGACTTTCTTAAAAAATCTTTATTTTTCCTATAGGTGAAAGCACTGAAAGAGAAGATTGAATCAGAAAAGGGGAAAGATGCCTTTCCAGTAGCAGGTCAAAAATTAATTTATGCAGGTATGAATTAAATAATGAAATGAATTTATTAATATACCATGTCTGACTTAAAACTCATTCTTTTTAGTTTTAGAAATTCTTATCTTACAGATGGTAGTATATTCAAATTGATTATGTCAGAAGCATGATGGTGGTAGTAAAAGTTATTTGAATATGTTAATATTCAATCTTCTCTTCATGTATTTTTTTTTTTTTTAAGATTTTATTTATTCACTCAACAGGTAGAGTTACAGACAGAGAGAGAGGTCTTCCTTCCATTGGTTCACTCTCTAAATGGCTGCAACAGCCGGAGCTGCACCGATCTGAAGCCAGGAGCCAGATGCTTCTTCCTGGTCTCCCATGCGGGTGCAGGGGACCAAGCACTTGGGCCATCCTCCACTGCTATCCCAGGCCACAGCAGAGAGCTGGACTGGAAGAGGAGCAACTGGGACTAGAACTGGTGCCCATATGGGATGCTGGCACCGCAGGCGGAGGATTAACCTAGTGCACCATGGCACCAGCCCCTGTTCATGTATTTTTCAATCCATTAATGTTTATTTTATTTAGTTTTATCTTTTTTTCTTTTTTAAAAAATATTTATTTATTAGAGAGTCAGAGAGAGAGAGAGGTCTTCCAACCACTGGTTCACTTTATGAGTTGGTCACAATAGCCAGAGCTGTGCTGATCCAAAGCCAGGAGCCAGGAGCTTCCTCTGGGTATTCCATGCGGGTGCAGGGGCCCAAGAACTTGGGCCATCTTCGACTGCCTTCCCAGGCCACAGCAGAGAACGGGATCAGAAGTAGAGCAGCTGGGATTCAAACTGATGCCCACGTGGGATGCTGACACTGCAAGTGGCGGCCTTACTGGCTACGCCATAGTGCTGGCCCCTAATTTTATCTTTTTAAGCATCAGTTGACTTTCGTGTTTTTTATCAAGCTTAGTGAATTTTTTATTAGATTGGAACTGTCTATTCTGATAATGTTTATTGGAATCATTCTTGTAATCATTATGTATTTGAAATCATACTTGTAAAATTAAAATTCTATATGCTTTTTAAGTGAACTACCAAAATTGACTGTATAGACAAGTTTATTTGTCAAAAGACACTGTAATGAGTGACAGAATAAAAAGATTAACACTTACATTATCTAAAAAGTTCTTTGAAGTCCAAGTGACCCTGTTAATAAACAACTAAGGGGACAGGTATTTGGCCTAACAATTGAGATGCCTGCATCTCCTATCACAGGGGTAGTGAATATCTGGCCTGTAGGCTATATAAGGCCAGTGAAATCATTTGGTCTGACCCTGCCAAGGTAACCTCAGGCAGGACTCAAAATTAAGTAAATCTAAGGCAGGCTAATCTTTAAGTTGATAATTTTGTGTTACTGCACGTGATTTGAAGATTGAAATGGCCCTTGGCAAGAAAAAATTTTCCCACTCCTGTCCAGTTGGAATACCTGGGTTTGAGTCCCACCTCCAGCTCCTCATTCCAGAATTCTAGCTCTCTGCTGATATAGACCCTGGGAGGCAGCAGGTGATGGCTCCATTGGTTGAGTTGCTACTACTCATGTGAGAAACCTGGCCCCAGCCACTGCAGGCATTTGGGGGAGTGTGTGGTGTGTGTGTCTTCCTTCCTTCCTTCTTTCTTTCCTTCCTTCCTTTCTTTCTCTTCCTCTTTCCCTACCCTTTCTCCCTCTCCTCTTCCTTAATTGCTGAGTGGTTTTATTTTTAATTTTTTTGAAGATTTATTTATTTGAAAGGCAGAGTAACAGGGAGAGACAAAGAGCTCTTCCATCTGCCACTTGACTCTCCAAATGGCTCCAGCTGACAAAGTCAGGAGCCTGGAACTCCGTCTGGGTTTCTCATGTGGATAGCAGGAACCCAGGTTCCTGGGCCATGTATTCTCAGGAGCATCAGCAGGGAGTTGATCAAAAGCAGAGCAGCCAAGACTGCAGTAAGGGATGTGAGCATCATAAGCAGTGGCTCCTCCCTGCCTTTCAATTAAAAAAAAAAAAAAAAAAAGAACAAGGAAGGATATCAATAGATTGCAGGGGGCAGCGCCATCCAATATGGGTACCGGTTTGAGTCTTGGCTGTTCCACTTCCAATCCAGTTCCTTGCTAATGTGCCTAGGAAAGCAGCAGAGATGGCCCAAGTGCTTGGACCCCCACCCCTGTGTGGGAAACTTGGATAAAGCTCCTGGCTCCAGGCTTCTCCCTGGCCCAGCCCTGGCCATTACGGCCATACAGATAGTGAACCTCTGGATGGAAGATCTCCATCTCTCCGTATCTCTCTCTCGAACTTTGCCTTTCAAATAAATAAATAAATTTTTAAAAATAAAAATAATACGTTTTTTAAAAAGAAAATTAAAATTTATGTAGCCTTGCTGGTAACCCGAAAAAAATGTGTCAAAAAAAAGACTTGATTTCTAAATTTTGTAGAGAAAATTAAAACTTGCTTCTTAAAAAATATTTGAACTGTCTCATAGGTAATAGTAGGGTGGGCTTTTGATCGCCCATGGATTCTTTTTTTTTTTTTTTTTTTTTTTTTGACAGGCAGAGTGGACAGTGAGAGAGAGAGACAGAGAGAGAAAGGTCTTCCTTTGCCGTTGGTTCACCCTCCAATGGCCGCCGCTGCAGCCGGCGCACCGCGCTGATCCTGGCAGGAGCCAGGAGCCAGGTGCTTTTCCTGGTCTCCCATGGGGTGCAGGGCCCAAGCACCTGGGCCATCCTCCACTGCACTCCCTGGCCATAGCAGAGAGCTGGCCTGGAAGAGGGGCAACCGGGACAGAATCCGGCGCCCCAACCGGGACTAGAACCCGGTGTGCCGGCGCCGCAAGGTGGAGGATTAGCCTATTGAGCCACGGCGCCGGCTCCATGGATTCTTGTTTGTTGCTTGTAGTGTTGCCTTTGATTTGATTTATAGGAAAGGCTAGCCACCATAGATTAGAATTTAGAAGCCTAAAGAGGCAGACATAAAACTCTAGTTTACAGTTCCTGGTCAGCCTGTTTTTTCCCCATAAGGAATAGAAACTCTAGTTCTTTCTTATTGTTTGTGGCTTTTAATTGAATAACTTTTAAAATGTAAAACTCAGTGCTGATGTTGTGCAGTGGGTTAAGTTGCCACTTGTGACGTCAGCATCCTCTTTGAGCACTGGTGAGTCCTGGCTGCTTTGCTTCCAGTGTAGCTCCCTGCTAATGCAACTGAAAAAGCAGCAGTAGATGGTTGGAGTGTTTGGCGCCCTGTTACCCACTCGGAAGACCCAGATGGAGATCCAGGCTCCTGGTTTTGACCTGGCCCAGCTCTGACCATTGTGGCCATGTGAGGAGTGAATCAGCAGATGGAAGATAGCTCCTTCTCCCCCTCCCCTTCTGTAACTGGGCCTTTCAAATAAAAATATCTTAAAACATAAATAAAAATGTGAAACTAAATTCAAGGAAGAGGAGCCCTCTGGGAGTTCTTATGTAATATTTGACCTTTGTCATGATCACAGTCTTGTGTACTTTATGCATTACTGATTTCTACGTATCTTGCTTGAAATACCTTTCTGTGTCTCACTTTCCTAGCCTTGGAATATTTCTGATTTGTCAGGTATCTAATATTTTTGGGAGCAGAAAGTTTGTTCTTCCCTTCCTCTCTCAGGAAAAGACTAGATTATTCCTTGGGGGGAGCCCTGGACAACAGTGTTGAGTTTTCATTGTCTTCACCATTTCTCCAGACCAGCAAGACTTCTATATAATTAATACATTTTAAAAAATTGCTTGACATCCTAATTATGGCATTATGTTTGACACCTTTTATTCCGATGCCTTAATTCATTTCATCTTATTTTGTTCTTAGATATTATTTTTCTTTGGGGGAAAATATTAATTGATAAAAATTGGTGTTGGTACATAATGGTTACATTGATTTAATTATGTGTAAGAAAGATTACTATGACTTAATGTTTTTCTTTTTCTTTTAATATATTAGGCAAAATTCTCAATGATGACACTGCTCTCAAAGAATACAAAATTGATGAGAAAAACTTTGTGGTGGTTATGGTGACCAAAGTAAGTTTCAGTCTCATTCTATATGTCTCTCTGCATGTGAGTCTTTTTAAAACGATGATCCCAGATCCACACAGTGGACACAGTTTATACACATCCATAGCAGTGTCCACTTAACTTTTAAGATTTTAAGCATTTATCTTGATTATACATATAGCATTGAAGCACCTAATACCACACCAGAATTGTTTCTGGAGTAGTAAAAACATTATGTAATTACTTTAAGGTGTGCTTAGAAATTGAGTAATTATTTCTTATTCTGTAGTTTTTTTTTTTTAACTTTTATTTAATGAATATAAATTTCCAAAGTACAATTTATGGATTACAATGGCTTCCCCCCCATACCGTCCCTCCCACCCACAACCCTCCCCTTTCCCACTCCCTCTCCCCTTCCATTCACATCAAGATTCATTTTCGATTATCTTAATATAAAGAAGATCAGCTTAGTATACATTAAGTAAGGATTTCAACAGTTTGCTCCCACACAGAAACATAAAGTGAAAAATAATAGATGATTTTTTTAAATGATGATGAAATCAGATCAGACCTATTGTCATGTTTAATCCCAGTGAGAGTCAAGTTGGGAGTTGATTTTTTTTTTTTTTACAGAGGATCAGTTTAGTATACATTAAGTAAAGATTTCAACAGTTTGCACCCCCATAGAAACACAAAGTGAAATATATTGTTTGAGTACTCGTTATAGCATTAAATCTCAATACACAGCACATTAAGGACAGAGATCCTACATGAGGAGTAAGTGCACAGTGACTCCTGTTGTTGACTTTACCAATTGACACTCCTGTCTATGGCATCAGTAATCTCCCTATGCTCCAGTCATGAGTTTCCAAGGCTATGGAAGCCTTCTGAGTTCTCCGATTCTTATCTTGTTTAGACAAGGTCATAGTCAAAGTGGAGGTTCTCTCCTCCCTTCAGAGAAAGGTACCTCCTTCTTTGAAGACCTGTTCTTTCCACTGGGATCTCACTCACAGAGATCTTTTGCCAGAGTGTCTTGGCTTTCCATGCTTGAAATACTCTCATGGGCTTTTCAGCCAGATCAGAATGCCTTTAGGGCTGATTCTGAGGCCAGAGTGCTATTCTTATTCTGTAGTTTTAAATAAGGATGCTTTGAAGGGCCTTGCTAAATTATGTACTAGACCTGACAGGTCCTCAAGGCAAGAGAAGGATGTAAGCTCAGTTTTTCATAGTGGAAGAATAGTGTTACCAAAACTAAAAGAAGAAAAGGTCAACTAAAAAAATGATAGGGTAATTTTTTTGTGAAGAAGTTTTAAATAAGAACTTTTTCTGTGGTATATTGGCATGCTATATATTTGGGGTGATTTTGAAAAGTGAAATTTTTTTTTTAAGCAAAAACAGAACAGTGAACATGTTGAGTTCTTTAAGAGACTATGAACTTTGCTTATTTCAAGATACATAATCAGATGGTGGAGAGATGAGACAAATGGAGACATGGTAGTATTCATCACATTTTTTTTTTTTTTTAAGATTATTTATTTATTTGAAAGTCAGAGTGAGAGAGAGAGAGAGAGAGAGAGGTCTTCCATCCACTGGTCCACTTCCCAATTGGTCCCAACACTGTGCCAATCCGAAGCCAGGAGCTTCTTCCAGGTCTCCCACGTGGGTGCAAGGGCCGAAAGACTTGGGCCATCCTCTACTGCTTTCCCAGGGCATAGCAGAGAGCCGGATTGGAAGTGGAGCTGCAGAGACTCGAATCCATATGAGATGCTGGCACTGCAGATGGATGCTTTATCCACTACGCCACAGCGTCAGCCCCTCATCACATTAATTTTTAAAATTGAATCCTAATCTGAACAGAAATAGTATTACTTGTAGCAAATCAAATAGGTTTAAATGTACAATTGAAACCAGTTCATCCAAAACCAAAATGGAAGTAAATGTAGAATTTTTTTCAAACTTGCAAAATAATGGATAGTAGTATAAAATATAATTGAAGAAAAGGACATTAATTTCTGTATACTTTGTCTTGGGAAACACAAAGCACTTAAACACAACACAGTGCGCCTGTGTTGGACTTAAACTTTTTTTTTTTTTTGACAGGCAGAGTTAGAGAGAGACAGAGAGAAAGGTCTTCCTTTCCGTTGGTTCACCCCCAAGATGGTCACTGTGGCCGGCATGCTGCGCCAATCCGAAGCCAGGAGCCAGATGCTTCCTCCTGGTCTCCCATGCGGGTGCAGGGCCCAAGCACTTGGGCCATCCTCCACTGCCTTCCCGGGCCACAGCAGAGAGCTGGACTGGAAGAAGAGTAACTGGGATAGAATCCAGCGCCCCAACGAGGACTAGAACCTGGGGTGCCAGCGCCGCAGGCGGAGGATTAGCCAAGTGAGCCGCGGCACTGGTCGGACTTAAACTTTTTTTAAGACATTTCTTACGGGCTGGCGCTGTGACATAGAAGGTTAAGCTTCTGCCTGCAGTGCTGGCATCCCCTGTAGGTACTGATTTGAGTCCAGGCTCCTCCACTTCTGATCCAGCTCCTTGCTAATGTACCTGAGAAAGCAGCGGATGATGGCCCAAGAATTTAGGCTCTTGCACCCATCTGGGTGAACCAAGAGAAGCTTCTGGCTCCTGGCTTCCACCTGGCCCAGCCCCAGGCATCACAGCCATTTGGGGTCAAATAAATAAAATAAATTTTAAAAAAGATAATCATTCCTTTTTATTTATTTATTTGAAAGTCCAAGTTACAGAGGAGAGGGGAAGACAGAGAGAGAGATCTCCCTTAATCTGCCTTGCCATAATTCTGGCCCCTGGGCTTAAAATTTTTAGTCTGTTAAAATAATAACTATTGATTTTGCTATATATAAGCATTTATTAAGCATTAAATGTTAAATACAGAGAAGCAGAATCATGAGGAAACCATGTATCATATGCTGTTTTTCTTCTAACAGTGGTAAAATATGCATAACACAGAATTTAACATTTTAACCATTTTTAAGTGTACATTCAGTAGCATTAAGTACATCACATTGTTATGCAGCTGCCAACACCTTTATCTCCAGAACTTTTTTATTTTCCCTGACTGAAAATTTGTAGCCATTTAACAGACTCCCTGTTCCTGCTGCCCCAGGCCCTGGCAGCTACTGTTCTATACTGTCTCCATGAATTTGACCACTATTGGTGCCTCATCTAACTGGAAGTCTGGTATTTGTCCTCTTGTGACTGGATTATTTCATTTAGCATAATGTTTTCAAGTTTCTGTTGTAACATGTAGAATTTCATTCCTTTTAAGGCTGAATAATCAGTTTTCTCATCTAGTTTTATCAAAACTGGTACCTAATAGAAAAAGTGATAGCTACACATTTGGATCTGTTTTGTTATTGGTCTTAATTTTTGAATAGTTGTAGTAACTGATTATTTTGTTACATAACTAAGAATTAAGCAGAAAACGTCTCAGAGTAGATGCATGGATTTGAGAAATAGATACTTGGGCTTATTTATTCTTATATTTTGTAGGATCCTAATGATATTCATGATTGTTCCATTTTGGATTTGTTGACAGAAGCCGGTTAGAAGGGGGTGAGGGCTACTGCAGTTAGGCATTATGGAAGCAATGAGAAATGCCTTTACTACAAAGAAGAGAGGAAACAGCAAAAAAAAAAAAACTTGAAAAAGCAGAGAGGCTGAGTACATAGAATAAAGCCTTTAAATAGCTCTTCATGGCAATAAAGACATTAAAGGCATTGTGTATTGTACTATCTGTGGATCAGATAATTAAGGAAAATATTGAAACAGATATAATGCATTTAAAAATATTTTTATATAGATTGATTATTATAAAGTTTAGGTGCTTAAAAATCCAGATCACTTGGGAGTTGGGGTAGTAGCATGGCGGGGTAAGCCACTGCCTGCAATACCAGCATTCTGTATGGATGCTTTGTGTCCCAACTGCTCCACTTGCAATCCAGCTCCCTGCTAATGTCCTGGAAAAGCAATGGAGGATGGCCCAAGTGCTTGGGCCCCTGTACCCACATAAGAGAACTGGAAGAAGCTGCTGGCTCCTGGTGGAGGACTGGTCCAACCCTGGCAGTTACGGCCGTTTGGGGAGTGAACCAGTGGATGAAGTTCTTCCCCTTCCCCTCCCCGTAACCCTTGCTTTTCAAATAAATCATTAAATCTTTCTTTGAAAAAAATCCACACCGGGGCCGGCACTGTGGTATAGCAGGTTAACGCCCTGGCCTGAAGCACCGGCATCCCATACGGGTGTGGGTTCTAGTCCCGGCTGCTCTACTTCCGATCCAGCTCTCTGCTATGGCCTGAAAAGCAGTAGAAGATGGCCCAAGTCCTTGGGCCCCTGCACCTGCTTAGGAGACCGGGAAGAAGCACCATTGGATGGAAGACTTTCTCTCTCTCTCTCTCTCTCTTTCTCTCTCTGCCTCTCCTGTGTGTAAATCTGACTTTCAAATAAATAGATCTTAAAAAAAAAATCCACACCATCACCTTTGTAATGCTTTGGTTTATCCAGAATAACTTTACCTGAGGATTTCAGCTCATTGGATTTTTGAATTTTTAGAACATTAATAATTTCCACAGTGTTGTATTGACAGAAAAGAAAGAGACAGAGTTAAATGTAAGGCTATTAGAATAGGAAAAGGAGTAAATGCTAAGGGCATTTTTGAAGCCTCTCCCCCTATAACTTGAACTAACCACTTTTTTTCCAGTGCCCTCTTTACTAGCTGAGATTGAACAAGATACCAGTAGCTTCTTGTTTTTCAGTTTGTTGATTTGTGCTTGTGACAAATTTTATTCAATTTTAATTCCATTTAAACAGTTACCTTTTGTTCTTAGGAAAGTTATGAACTGATTGGGTAGTGAACATTGGAGAAAAACATGTAGAAGAATAAAACTCATTTAGTATGATTTTATACCTAGTTGTTTTTTGCTCTGTGGGAAGCTTTATGACTGTTTCTAGAAAGTGCTCAGCATGTGATCACAACTTTATTTTTCTCTTCAGTTACATACACATCTCAAAATGTTGCTTATCTCTTGTACGTGTTGTCTATTGGGATTTTTTCCTCTCTCTTCTAAAATATAGCAAAATATTTTACATGTTCTTTAGTAATTATTTCTATTTCAAGAAATTACTTTTGATAATTCTACTAAAATTAAAAGTTAAGATACGTAAAGTTTTTGGGGGTAATTATTTGGTTACTTTTTTGGATACATGTTGTGTATATTTAATATTTACTTTTGATTCTTTTTCATATCAACTTGATAGTCTAAAATTGTTGACTAAAGCTAATTGAGATTCATAGTTATGTGTACAGTCGCAGGTTTTCAAAGAGTAACAAAGTGAGTCAGATTGCTAATACTAATCTCATTTTTTTTGAGGTACAAGATTTACTAGTGTTGGATTTCTTGCATTCTGTACAATCAAATAAAGACCAGGTAGTAATACAGTATTTTATCATAATCACTTTGCTTTTTAATATGCTTAGCCCAAAGCAGTGACAACACCAGCACCAGCTACAACTCAGCAATCAAATTCTGCCACCACTACTGCAGTTAGTTCCTCCACAGCAACAGCTGTAACTCAGGCCTCAACACCTGCCCCTGCTTTGGCTCCCACTTCCACACCTGCGTCCATTGCTCCAGCATCAACGACATCTTCTGAACCTGCACCTGCTAGTGCAACTAAGCAAGAGAAACCTGCAGAAAAGCCGGTAGAGACACCAGTGGCTACTAGTCCAACATCAACTGACAGGTAAACACTGAGTTCTAGGAAATTGTATCTCAAAATGTGTAACAATCTCACACATGTATTTATTTTGATGATTATTTCAGTCAAACTGACTATTCTGTTAAGCTTTTTCTAAACTTTGAACCCTGCCTGAAAGATACTAGAGGTCTGTTTGGGTAGTTTACGAAGAAGAATATAGGTAAAAATTTGGGTGATCCAGATCTCTATACTCGTTAAGTTGATTTCCCACCCCTTAGGGGAGAGGGTCAAAATCATTATTCATTTTGAGTAAAAATGTTAGAAAATACAAATGAAAAAAAAAAAAAAAACCCAAGAATTATTAATTAACATGACATTGCCATCCCAGTCATTACTTGTTTTGAGTATGCATAGATTTCACCTATTTTTGGTACATATTTTTTGTATAAAATAAAGGTTTTTTCCAAATTTTTTTAGAGATTTTATTTATTTATTTATTTGAGAGGCACAGTTACAGACAGAGAAAGATCTTCCGTTCACTGGTTCCCTCCCCAAATAGCCACATTGGCCGAAGCTGGGATGGCCCAAAGCCAGGAGTTTCTCTCTGGTCTCCCACATGGATGCAGGGGCTCAGGCACTTGGGTCATCTTCCTTTGCTTTCCCTGGCCATTAGCAGGGAGCTGGATTGGAAGTGGAGCAGATGGGACTCAAACCGGTGCCCATATGGGATGCCAGCGCTACAGGCAAAGACCTAACCCACTGCAGTGGCCAAACTTATTTATGTTCACTTTCCATTAATTTTTTGGAGTACCCATGTATATTTGGTTGATTTTTTTTTATATATTTGTCATATATATTATAAGCATCTTTCCACATCAATTATTTCTAGTTGGATAGTATTCTGTTTGGCTCTGATATTAGCTCTGATAATCTTGGAAAAGTTATTAACATCTTTGCATTTTTCCCCATCTATATAGTATGAATGACAACAAGATCTATTTCATAAAATTATTGTAAGGTTTGATTGAAATAATAGATGTCAAAGATGAAATTGCACATGGTATACAGTAAATGCTGATTAAGAGCTTTTTTTTTTCTTTTTTTTTTAACTTTTATTTAATGAATATAAATTTCCAAAGTACGATTTATGGATTACAATGGCTTCCCCCACATACCGTCCCTCCCACCCACAACCCTCCCCTTTCCCACTCCCTCTCCCCTTCCATTCACATCAAGATTCATTTTCGATTATCTTAATATACAGAAGATCAGCTTAGTATACATTAAGTAAGGATTTCAACAGTTTGCTCTCACACAGAAACATAAAGTGAAAAATAATAGATGATTTTTTTTAAATGATGATGAAATCAGATCAGACCTATTGTCATGTTTAATCCCAGTGAGAGTCAAGTTGGGAGTTGATAATTTCTTTTTTTTTTTTTTTTTTTTTTTTTTTACAGAGGATCAGTTTAGTATACATTAAGTAAAGATTTCAACAGTTGCACCCCCATAAAAACACAAAGTGAAATATATTGTTTGAGTACTCGTTATAGCATTAAATCTCAATACACAGCACATTAAGGACAGAGATCCTACATGAGGAGTAAGTGCACAGTGACTCCTGTTGTTGACTTTACCAATTGACACTCCTGTCTATGGCATCAGTAGTCTCCCTATGCTCCAGTCATGAGTTTCCAAGGCTATGGAAGCCCTCTGAGTTCTCCGATTCTAATCTTGTTTAGACAAGGTCATAGTCAAAGTGGAGGTTCTCTCCTCCCTTCAGAGAAAGGTACCTCCTTCTTTGAAGACCTGTTCTTTCCACTGGGATCTCACTCACAGAGATCTTTTACCAGAGTGTCTTGGCTTTCCATGCCTGAAATACTCTCATGGGCTTTTCAGCCAGATCCGAATGCCTTTAGGGCTGATTCTGAGGCCAGAGTGCTATTTAGGACATCTGCCATTCTATGAGTCTGCTGAGTATCTCACTTCCCATGTTGGATCACTCTCCCCTTTATTTATTCCATCGGTTAGTGTTAGCAGGTACTAGACTTGTTTATGTGCTCCCTTTGACTCTTAGTCCTTTCATTATTATCAATTGTGAGCTGAAATTGATCACTTGGACTAGTGAGATGGCATTGGTACATGCCACCTTGATGGGATTGAATTGGAATACCCTGGTATGTTTTTAACTCTGCCATTTGGGGCAGGTCAGCTTGAGCATGTCCCAAATTATACATCGACAGGCAGAGTGGACAGTGAGAGAGAGAGAGACAGAGAGAAAGGTCTTCCTTTGCTGTTGGTTCACCCTCCAATGGCTGCCGCGGCTGGCACACTGTGGCCGGCGCACCACGCTGATCCGATGGCAGGAGCCAGGTACTTCTCCTGGTCTCCCATGGGGTGCAGGGCCCAAGGACTTGGGCCATCCTCCGCTGCACTCCCTGGCCACAGCAGAGAGCTGGCCTGGAAGAGGGGCAACCGGGACAGAATCCGGCGCTCCGACTGGGACTGGAACCCGGTGTGCTGACACCCCAAGGTGGAGGATTAGCCTAGTGAGCCGCGGCGCCGGCCTGGATTACTTTTTCAGATCGGCAGAGATTGCATAAATAACTTGATAGTGATATAGAAAAGCAGGCACTAGAGTCCTTACTTAGTTGGATTTTATACTAGAACAACTTACTGTTGTTGAAAATTATACACCTCAGAAGGATAATATGGGAAGGGAAAGATGAGAGAAGCTTAGAAAACAAGCACTTGAATGTGCCTTAATACCTTCATGTTGATGTGAAACATGTAGTATCCTGTAAAGCACAAAACATAGTGAAAATTATCAGGAGTTGGGCTGATATGATTATGTGGAGCATTAGAAATTTGTTCATCACCAGTCACTTGACATTTTATTATTGAGGACTTGCCTTTTGTTCTTTAAAAATAGCTGCTGACTCTAGTGTAAATTCTACTTGTTGATACCCACCTTAAAGGGACTGCACTATAGACATGGACTTAACTGGGCAGTGGTTGTTACCTCTGAGTAGAGAGGGGAGAGGTGGTGAGAGTGAGTCAAGATTGATTAGTGGTTAAAGTACATTTCAGTCTTAAATTTTTAAACTGAAAATTGTGCTCGTTATTCTGAGAGTAATTAGAACCAGTACTAAAATGTATTATACATAATAATGAGGAAAATAGATTGCCCTGACTGAAAGAAAGCTCGTCTTTTTACCTGGTTTCCTTCAGGTTATAACTTTCATTTACTCTACCTCTGCCTATTTACTTACTTGAAGGCTGCCTTTTAGTTTTGTCATTTAAAATTTAACCAAACCTTAGTATGTGAAGACTAATTTGGTTTCTGCGTGCACTATTTCATGTTTTGCTTTTGGCATTTCTTCTACTGTGACTTGATTTATAGATTATTTAACTTATAAATTCTCTCAGGGAGATAGTCATTATAGAAAGCTATCTGTAAGGATGATATTTCACATCTTTAAACATTGAAAATGATGGACTCTGAGTAAGAGTAGTAAGGTGGAAAATTTTTCTTAAACTATCAGTGTTATAGATAAACTTTTGGGTTTAACCTAGAGGAGACTGTTTAAATACTGTAGACAGGATTTATGTTGAATTAAAATCAAATAATCTCTTTACAAATTAGTTACTAGACTAAGTAATTAAATTTTACTTATTTTGAGTTGAAGTTTTTCTAAAAACCTTTACAGTACATCAGGAGATTCGTCTCGGTCAAACCTTTTTGAAGATGCAACAAGTGCACTTGGTAAGTATCTACCTTACCTCCTAAGTACCCGTAAGAGGGTAGAAGTTTACATTTCGTTTTTTGAGAGCATGGTAATGTGTTAATTTTCATGATTTCTTTTAATTGAGCTATTAAATTATTTAGATAATTATTAATAATGCTACTAAAGACTTTATATTAATATTTTACGTATTGGATTCTTTAAAATGCTATATAGGCATATTAAGTTCCATTTTCCAAATATAAATTTTAAATGTTGTATTACAAGATTTGGTCTGTATACATATTTATTACTAACTGTCCAGTAAGGAAAATAGAAATCATTTTATTTCAAATTAGGAAAAGCTCAACCTTAAGAAATTGCTATAAAGGTTTTGGAAGGTCTGGAGGAGAGGATTATCCCAGAGAACAATCCACTGTTCTGTAGCTTGGGGCTGGGGCTAGCTGGCACTGGCCCCTAATGTACAGCGATGCTGCAGAGCACAGACCAGAAGTCCGTGGCTGTAGCTGCTCCACTAAGCCTTTGCTGGTGATGTTTTACTTTTACATCTTTATTTCTCCCAGAGTGCACACACACTCGAGTTTCTGGTCTTAGACTCCTTTTACTCTTTCATCTTTTGTCTCCCCGTTCTCTGTGTTGATTTCCTGCTTCTTTAAGCTTTCTTTGTTGTCTTTGACACCACTCTTGCCAATTCATGCCTCACACTGTTACTTCTCAGGTTTTCTACTTAGTTCTTTTCCTTGACCCTTAAATATATAGAGTGTCCATGGTTCTTCTGTGAGACATAGTTCAAGGTTTAAGCTATGGGAATGGCCAGTACCACCCATTTACTGTAATTGTTTCCCAAATTATATCTGCAGTACAGCTCTTCATCTGAGCTCCCAGACTCACTTGTTTAAACTGCCAGCTGGAAAATGCGCAGCCTCCACACACCGCTTAGGATGCAAGTTGACGCATCTTTTACCCTCATCTGATTTTCTTCTTTGTTCTCGTAACACTCTTGGCACCATCAGTCCCTGTCTGCTTCCATGTTGGCATTATCCTTGACCTCTGCGTCTCTTGGCCCAGTGAGTCTAATTGATTTTTTTTCCTAATGTCTTTGAAAAATTTGTTTTCACAGCCATTTAGCTGCCTTAGTGCAGATCCTTACCTTACTTAGGCTCTTGCATTATCTTCTTCCCAATCTGATCTCTTCCCTGCCAGAGTAGAATATCTATCTATCTTTCTTTCTTTCTTTCTTTCTTTTTTTTTTTTTTTTTTTTTGACAGGCAGAGACAGAGAGAAAGGTCTTCCTTTGCCGTTGGTTCACCCTCCAATGGCCGCCACGGCCGGTGCACCGCGCTGCTCCGATGGCAGGAGCCAGGTGCTTCTCCTGGTCTCCCATGGGGTGCAGGGCCCAAGCACTTGGGCCATCCTCCACTGCACTCCCTGGCCACAGCAGAGAGCTGGCCTGGAAGAGGGGCAACTGGGACAGAATATGGCGCCCCATCCAGCACTAGAACTCGGGGTGCCGGCGCCGCAGGCAAAGGATTAGCTTAGTGAGCCATGGCGCCGGCCGTGGCCTCATTAACTCTGTCTCTTGGCCATTCTCCCCAGTATTTATTTCTTTTTCTTTCTTTTTTTTTTTTTTTTTTTAATATTTACTTGTTTGAAAGAGTTGCACAGAGAGAGAATGAGAGGCAGCAAGTGAGAGGGATCTTACATCCAGTGGTTCACTCCCCAGCTGTCCGCAGCAGCCAGAGCTGCGTTGATCCGAAGCCAGGAGCCAGGAGCTTCTTCGGGGTCTCCCATGCAGGTATAGGGGCCCAAGGACTTGGGCCATCTTCTACTGCTTTCCCAGGCCATAGCAGAGAGCTGGATTGGAAGTGGAACAGCTGGGTCTGAAACTAGTGCCCATACGGGATGCCGGCACTGCAGGCAGCGGCTTTACCCACTACGCCACAGAGCCAACCCCTCTCCCCAGTATTTCTACAAGTCACTTGCCTTTATATTTTTAAGATTTAAAATGTATCATACTGCTTATACGCATTTCTTTTTGAGTTTTTATAACAATTTATTAGGAAGCATTGTGTATAGAAGGTACGTTAACTGCACATGGGACTCTGGACCCTGACAACCTGCATGTGTATCTCAGCACCTGACTTACTAGTCATTGATGCTTTGATCGTGTTCTATTTTTTTTTTTAAGTTTTATTTATTTATTTGAAAGTTGGAGTTTCGCAGAGAGAGAAACAGAGGCAGAGAGAGGTCTTCCCTCCGCTGGTTCACTCCCTAGTTGGCTGCAACAGCCGGAGCTGCGCTGATCCAAAGCCAGGAGCTTCTTCTGGGTCTCCCATGCGGGTGCAGGGGCCCAAGGGCTTAGGCCATCTTCTGCTTTTCCAGGCCATAGCAGAGAGCTGGATTGGAAGAGAAGCAGCCAGGACTCGAATTGGCACCCATATGGGATGCCGGCACTGTAGGCAGCGGCTTTAACCTACTGTGCCACAGCGCCGACCCCAACCTCCTCATTTTTAAAAGGAGGTGAAAATAGACCTTCCTCAGAGAGAGCTCCTCTGTGATAAGTAATGTGAAACATCATGTTAAAAATAGTATCAACCTGATCTTCTCCAGCTCTTAATTTTGTTTATATTAATGCTGATTCTGCATCTGGGAAGTAGGTTACTTTTGTTTTCAGCATTCACTGTCTATGTGCTAAAATTCTATCCATGGATAATCAAAAAACAAAAATATTAAAAAGTGCCTTTATACATCGGTAAAGAAAGGTCATGTAGTTCTGTTATGGTAATGAAATACCTGAGGCCAGTTACCTAAACAAGTTTATTTGCTCCCATTTCCGAAGGTTCAAGTTCATGGCGTTGACAGGCTCTGGTAAAAGCATGATAGCACGTGGCATCACAGTGGCAGGAGCATGTGCAAGAGGAGGTGAAGATTACATGATGGGGCAGGAAGCCAGAGAGAGGAAGAGGGGCTTTGTGACAACTACTCTTTTTTTTTTTTTTTAATATATATATATATTTTTTTTTGACAGGTAGAGTGGACAGTGAGAGAGAGAGACAGAGAAAGGTCTTCCTTTGCTGTTGGTTTACCCTCCAATGGCCGCCGCGGCCGGCGCGCTGCAGCCGGCACACCGCGCTGATCCGATGGCAGGAGCCAGGTGCTTCTCCTGGTCTCCCATGGGGTGCAGGGCCCAAGGACTTGGGCCATCCTCCACTGCACTCCCTGGCCACAGCAGAGAGCTGGCCTGGAAGGGGGCAACCGGGACAGAATCTGGCGCCCCGACTGGGACTGGAACCCGGTGTGCTGGCGCCGCAAGGCGGAGGATTAGCCTAGTGAGCCGCAGCGCCGGCCGACAACTACTCTTGAGAATTAACTCAGGGTCTCATGAGAATTACTTTAATATCTTCTAAGGGCAGTGCCCACCCCACCCCCAAATGAGCCAGCCAGCTCCCATTAAGCTCCTCCTAAATGGTTCTACACATCTCAGCATCACCATGTTGGGGGACAAGCATCTAACACATAAAACTTTGGGAGATAATGCACATCCACACCGTAGCAGGTCATTAAGCGATATATAAATGCTTAATTTGCTCAAGGACACTTAAATTTCTTTTCCAGCTATTAAATACCTTTTTTTAAAAAAAAAAATTGTATAGAAAAAAAGTCATAATTCAGTAGATAGCGAGTGCCCTTGAAACTGATGCAAAATGACACGATCCCCTGTATGGCTAAACCTGCATTCAGGTGGGGAAAAGAAAAAATATGAAACAGAAAATAAATGGCAACTCACAGTAACTGTGAAGAACACGGAATTTCCAAAAGGAAAACAAAGCACGGTGGCTAGCAGCACCTGCCTGGGCCTATAACTGGTAAATGTAGAACTGAAGTGTGTGAAGGAACTGGCCACACAGCTGGCACATGTAAAGACTCTGGAGAGACAAGATGGGGCTTGCTGACATAGTCCAGAGACCAATGTGGTGGAGGATCACTGAGGGTGTGAGATGAGGTTTTCTTTTTTGTAAAGTTCACTTTTGCAACTGGCTGAAGAATGGGTTGAAGGTACGGGGGCAGGAGTGGAAGCAGGCTGTAGTCCAGACTGGAGGTTGTCTGTAGGCTGTTCTTGAGTAATGGCTGTGCAGAAAAAGGAGCTAGATGCATTTTGGGATATAATTTACAGATGGGACCTAATAAATAAGCTGGCAGATTAGATGTGGAAGGAGGGGAAAGGGTTAAAACCACTGTTTCTGGTTGCAGCCCTTGAGTGCTTAGAGGTACCATTTGTTGAATAGGGGAAGACAGATAATGGCGTGATAGGCTTGAGGAGGAAATCTTTATTAGAGTTAGTTGAGAGGTGAGTGGAAAGTGAGGAAATGTGGAGATAGCAGGTGTGGACAGCTCTTGCTTTGAAGGAAGAAAGCAGATAAATGAACCACTTCCTGAAAGAGGAATTGATATGAGGTCAAGGGAGTGTGGTGTGTCTTGGGCTGACATGAAGGAAATGTGAGGATAATAAAGCAGAGAGGGCAAGTAGGATAATCAAGTCCAGCTCTTTGAGATGGGGAGAATGGCAGTAGTACCTAGAATACCAAAAAAAGATTGATTTAGTGAGGTCTGTTTATGGGGGAAGGTTACTTGCAGCAAATCTGAGTGTTGTGTGCTGTTTTCTGAAGAGCAAGTTAAGTCTTCACCCTCAATGGAGAACTGGAGAGAGCCTCTGAGAAGTGACTTACTGGGAGAATAATAGTAGTAGTCCTTAAGGCATTGGGCTTTGCAGTATGAGATTTTCACCTTCTAGTTCCTGGCCTCCTTTTATCCACTGTGTTGGTGATAACACAAGATGGCAAATGAAAACTGCAAACTTCCACATCACAATTGATTGCTTAAAAAGCCCCTTCTATGTTTTCTAGATTCATCTGTCTTCTCACAGGTTACCTTCCCTGACATCCTCCTAATTCTTTGTTAAATTTGTACCTGGTGTTTCTCTTGTACTTATGAGGCATATTAGTTTTCTAATGCTACTATACTCCCCAAACTTCATGGTATAATAACAACACAGATGTATTACCTTGCAGTACTAGGGTAGACAGACCTGCCACTGGACTCACTGGGCTGAAATCATGGGGTCAGCAGGGCTGCTTTCCTTTCTGGAGATTTGGGAAGAATTTGTTTATTTTTTCCATCCTCTGGAGGCTTCCTTCATACCTTGGGTTCTGGCACCAGCATCTCTGGTCCTACTGTTTGTCCTCTCTGACCTTCTCATCTGTCTCCCTTTTCTTGTGATTATGCTGAGCCTGTCTTAAAGTCAGCTGATAAGCAAACTTAATTTCATGAATAACCCCAATTTTCCTTTACTGTGCAACAACATATTTGTAGATTCAAGGGATTAGGACATGGATGTCTTTAGGTAACCATTAATCTCCATGCTATAAAAAATGATATTATTTGTCCTGCTATTTATCTTTGTAACCCTAGCACAGTAGTGGCTAAAGCATAAGCATGTATAAAGTCAAGAAGTATATAGAAAATTTCCCCTGTCTCTTTAGTGACAGGTCAGTCTTACGAGAATATGGTGACTGAGATCATGTCAATGGGCTATGAACGAGAGCAAGTAATTGCAGCCCTAAGAGCCAGTTTCAACAACCCTGACAGAGCTGTGGAGTATCTTTTAATGGTAAGAAACATATTTTACTTTTCTTCATTCAAATTGCTTAAGATAAAATCTCAAGAAACTTGGATTTTAAGTGACAAGTTAATAATTCACTGGAGAAGAATAATGTATACTAGATAATTTATATAATGCTTTTATTTTTTCAAATATGTCAGTATTTTGTGTTGACAAAATATTTTCTAAAAAATTCTGATGTGTTTTTAGTTAGAAAGCAACATGACTAAATTAGTTGTGAAATTAGCTGTCCAGTTAGAGAAAGTACCCTGTAGCCCAGTTGGTGTGTTGGGGAGAGGAATTAATTGTTGATTGAATGGTCTAACATTTCAGTAGTTATCTTTAAATGCTGGCAACTTGTTTATCTATGAAATTCGTTTGTAACTGAGCAGTCCTGTTGGATTAATAATTGTTGTGGAGCCCCTAAACAGATCTACTTTGCCTTTTTTTTTTTTAATGGAACAACTTTGAGTAGTACCTGATTTAGAATTCTGTCTGCATTAATTTAATATTATCAGATTTGTATGTGAGATTTTGAGGTACAAAAAAATGATTCACTGTTTCCAAAGTTACTGGATTTTAAAACTACTGTGTAGCATCAACTCTGATAATGTAAATAATAGAAATGAGTTCATGAAACAATTTCCAGTGGGTTTGTTTGTTTTGGGTTTTTTGGGTTTGTTTTAATAGACTTAGTGTTTGTTCAAGTGAAAGTGAATGGATAGAAGAAGTGTTGCTCATTTCCATAGTAAGAGTCTGTAATTCCACCTGAGAGAATTAGAGGTAGATCTGCAGCAGTGATGGGTAGCTTGTTAGTTAACAAACCTGTTTGGGAACTTGACAGAAACTCAAGACCTTTTATCTGTGTAGCCTGTTAGTGCTTAGTAACAACTCATGAAAGGATTAGAATTGATGAACTCTCTCAAAACTGTTTGCATTGCCTACAGTTAACAGCTAATTTTCTGGCAGCCATTACCTTGTTCATTCTTTATTTTGAATGAGATTGGCTTCTGGTTTATTTGCAAATGGAAGCATTTGTGCTCTCTTACTCCAGTTGTAATATTCCTTCATTTTGCCTTTCCCAAAATCAGCAAAAATTTAATAAAGATTTTTTTAAATGGTTGTAGAAGAGAAGCCTGTAAATCATGTACATCAAGATACAGTCACGAAAGTGAGTGCAGTTTTAAGCTGCAGTAACTTCTGCTAGACAATAGTTATAACAGATAGAGCAGACTCAGTAGAAAGCATCACCTAAATGTTATGTCAGCTTCTTTAGATCAGTTTTGTGTATTTTTTTAAAAATTGCTTCTGTTGCACTTTCTGGATGATGCTTTCTCAGGACTGTGGCTTAGTAGAGGAGACCCTCCTGCCTGGTCCTTGTGGTCACCTGTCTGTTGGACTTGTCTGTTAGTAATTGTTCTTTCTAGAATCATTTCACAACTGTCAAGTGAGCATCTAAAACTTTTCTCTGGATGAACTTAAGACCGGCATTACGAATATGATCCTTTTTATCACGGAGCAACAGCTGATGAAAGTGTCTAAGTAGTTAGAAAATTAACTAATGCAATATAGCACACAAACTTTGGTTCTGTTCAATTTAAAATGACAGAGAGCTTTTATGACTGTTAGGTATCTTACAGGAGAGTGCAGGCACAGCTAGGAGAAGATTCCCCTCATCGTGTGAAGTTCTGTTGGACAGTGTTGCCTTCTGTTACCACATTATGGCTTCTTCCACATCATGCCTAGGTCGTTTCTAATCTGATTTTAATTCATGCAGCTTAATGCTCTTTAGTCCTTGATTTTTAATTCGAATAGACATCTGTTTGATGTGTTGGAACTAGACAAGCATATTAAAATAGACCATAAGTCTTTTTCTCTAATATTTAACTAATTTTGCATGATAGGGTATTTTAAAGCTTGGAAATTGTGTTGTAGGGAATTCCTGGAGATAGAGAAAGTCAGGCTGTGGTTGAGCCCCCGCAAGCAGCTGGTACCGGAGCTCCTCAGTCTTCAGCAGTGGCTGCAGGTGCCGCAACTACAACTGCGACGACGACGACAACTAGTTCTGGAGGTAAAGCAGAGTCCTGAATGGGGGAAGAAATGCCCCCTGAGTTTTTAGTATGCAGTGATTTAATCAGAAATGTTTTGGGGGTGAGGTTCATTCCCAGTGCATTCATATCACCTTTTTTTTTTTTTTTTTTTTTAAAAAGATTGATTTATTTTGAGAGAGTTGGAGAAAGAGATCTTCATTCACTGGTTCACTCCCCAAATGGCTGGAAAGGCCAATGCTGAGCAAGGAGCCAGGAATTCATCTGGGTGGCAAGGGCCCAAACACTGGACCATCTTCCATTGCTTTTCGAGGCATGTTAGCAGGGAGCTGGATCAGAAGCGGAACAGCTGGGACATAAACTGTCACCCATATGGGATGCCAGTGTCACAGGCAGCCACTTTACACACTATGCCACAGTACCAGCTCCTTGTATATTTCTATTCACTAATGTTAGAAAGAGGCCCAAAAGAAATTCTACCAAGAAGATGTAAAAGGTATCCTTGCTTATATTAAACATCAGTACTGCTGTAGTTTAGTCAATGGGCATATCCCTTTTAGTTTATTTTAAGGAAAAGATGTTTCCCAGTTTGCATTTAACTGTCTCCTTTACTTGTCAGTACCCATTCAATTGCCTTGAGTCTTAACTGCAGAGCACAGCTTGGAGCCCATGGTAGGCCCAGGAATTACAAAGTGTTCTTCATTCTTTCTTACGTATGTTGGTAAGTGATCTAAACTGTTAATTTCAAGGAGGCAATTTTTCTTCATACATTTCCTAACTCTGATCAAGGTAGTCACTGCGGATTGACAGCAGTCCTTAAGTGCCTCTTCCAGAAGACAGGCCTGTCCTTTGTTTAGGTTCAGCACAATCATGGAAAGAGAAGGCCACGACTCTGGTTCAGATTTGGGGTGCTCTCCCATTTGGCATATATTTGAGAACTTGATCTTTCAATCTCATTTTTTTTTATACAACTAATGTTAAGGGGTCATCACTATGGAATAGAAGGTTAAGCCATCACCTACTGTGCCAGGATCCCATATGGGTGCCAATTCACATTCTGGTTATTGCACTCCCATCCAGCTCCCTGCTAATGCCCCTGGGAAAGCAGCGGAGGATGGCCCAAGGGCTTTGGTCCCTGCTCCCATGTGGAAGACCTGGAAGAACCTCCTGGCTCCTGGCTCTGGCCTGGTCCAGTCCTGGCTGTTGCCACGATCTGGGGAGTATACCAGCAGATGGAAGACTTCTCTCTGACTCTGCGTATGCATTTCTCTGTAACTCTGCCTTTCAAATAAATGAGTAAACCTTAAAAAAAAAAACTAGTGTTAAACAAAATAAATAGCCATGTGTTATGGTCAATTCAGTTTGAAAGATTTCTTCCTCAGTAATTTAGGAAATGACAATATCTAAAAAATCTCATCTTGTTAGTAACCTCAAGAACAATTTTATATACATATTTTTCATACAACATGAGGAGGTAAGGACCAGCACTCCGAGAGTCACAAATTCTGTATCTTGTGCCTCATTTGGTATTAATTTTGACTATTGTAAAGGGATCTGAGATGAAGGCACTTTAGATGTGTTAACACTAGGTTGTTTTGCATCTTAGTTACCTCAAAGATTTGTGAATCACATGATTACATTTTAATTGGTGAAAGCCCACATATTTATGACATTGATGCCATAAGATCATGCCATCTAGTGATGGCATAACCATCTGAATTTGTATAAATCCATCCTGTGATGAACATACAGTAACAAAATTATATGACTACACATTTCTCAGACAGTATCCCATCATTAAGAGACTCATAAGTGTATTACAAAGTGAGATTTTTGTTTTTGTCAGTCCTGCTACATTTGTTGCATAGGAACCTATGAGCAACAGGAACAACTTTTAGTACTCTTTATTTTCATTGAACGCAAGCAAGGCACAAGTTCTTAGTAGTTTTGGACTTTATTGAGTGCCTAGGCAGTTGTAGGGAAGTTTGATTCCTACAGTGTTCTGCACTCTCCAGCTTTGCTGATCAGAATGATTTCAGCAGTGTAAGACTTATACATAGTTTGAAAATTTCACTGTTTGTACCGTTTTTATTACTCTTGAAAACTCGAAATTTTAACTGAGTGTTTGCAGTCTTACTGTATGATTAAAGCTATTTTATATTTATTGCTTTTGTTTAAAAATGTGTTTGTGTATTTTAGGACATCCCCTTGAATTTTTACGGAATCAACCTCAGTTTCAACAGATGAGACAAATTATTCAACAGAATCCCTCCCTGCTTCCAGCATTGCTACAACAGATAGGTCGAGAGAATCCTCAATTACTACAGGTGACTCTTTAATCAGTATTAATTTAGAAAGTGGGGCCTAGAGTGTATTATATTTTGAAATGGTCTATGATTATTCCTGTTCCCCACTGACTCTTTGAGAATAGTTAGACCATCTTTCCAGCCTACACTCAGTAGAATATTATGTTCTAGAAGGGTATACTGAAAAGAGTTGCATTTGTACTAAAGTATAGAGGTTGTGTTAATTTAAATCAGTTAATAAGTTTGGGAAACATTTTATATTTCCTTCTTAGAGATTCCCAATGTACATTAACATATTAAAGAATCTGAGAAGCTATTTAACGAAGAAACTGTTTAACTTTTTAAAATCACTTTCCCCAAGGTTATTACCTAAAGATCATTGCCTCTTAGAAAGTAAAGCTGTAGGCTTTTTTGATACTCAGATCACCCCAAGTATTAGAGTTTTCTACAGTATTGTACTGCCTTCTCGTGTGGAAGTTACAAAAAAAGAAATACATATATTTTATACTCCCATTGTATTTTAGCTAATTTTATGAGGAAGGCACAGTGTTTAGGTATAAGAATTTAGATTTGCTGTTCACTATTTGCCTTACTCAGAAGTGACAAGTTTTGTTAATAGTACATAAGTACATCTGTAAAAGACAGAATTACTCTGAAGTATCACAGTTGCAGTTACAGATTTGTGTTTAAAATTTCTGTTTTGCTTGAGGTAACTAATATCAATGTATTGTTTTTCTCTGCCCTTCAAATCACCACAGCAAATTAGCCAACACCAGGAGCATTTTATTCAGATGTTAAATGAACCAGTTCAGGAAGCTGGCAGTCAAGGAGGAGGAGGAGGTGGAAGTGGCAACGCAGGAATTGCAGAAGCTGGAAGTGGTCATATGAATTACATTCAAGTAACACCTCAGGAAAAAGAAGCTATAGAAAGGGTGAGTCTGAGTAAAGCTAAAGATGTTGAGTTCCACTAGCCACAATTCAAATGCTCAGTAGTCACTTTGGGCTACTGTTAGCTAGAGCAGATCCAGAGTATTTTCTGTCACTACAGAGCCAAAGAGAACTTTGTCAAGGGACTGTGGTCAGATAGTCTGGTCCTTTGCAAAATCAAGGGTCTAGCAGTAATTCGCCAGTCTTGGAAGAAACAGATGTGAATACATCAGGGTACTACAAAAATTTCACTGGTGTTTTTAAAACTTTAAGCTTTAAGAAAAAGTATCTTAAAATATACCCAATTCTAAATTACCAGTTATTTAATTTATATTTCACTGTGAACATCAGGACCTAGCTATCCTGTTTCACTTTGTATCTTTATCAGGTTGACCATTGCAGGTTGTGGCACTGCAGACACCTGGTTTTTATCATTTTGTGATTGGTCAGAGGATCATAACACTTCCCTGTCGTAGCAAAGTCATCTAGATAATAATTTGTCCTTGTTTATGATACTATATATACTATATATAATATATAAGAGTGGTCAGGGTTTATAGTTATGTTTCCTAAAAGGTATTTAAGCTGGTCCCCTCCCCCCTTAAATGCCCAAGTGAGTAAACAGTACTTTTCTCACTTGTTCTGTAGTGACTAATTTTCTTTTGAATTTGGGGTTATTGGTTTGATTTATGTGTTGTTTATATTTTTCCTATTTTAAACATGTACTGTTGGTATTGGTACCTAGTGTTGCCTAAACCTAGGTTGTGTGGTTTACTCCTAACTTTTTCTTAAGAGTATTTAGCTCTTGCATATAGGTTTACAGTCCATTTTTAGTTATTTTTTTTATATATGATAGGAGGTGTTAGGGGCCCTACTTCATTGTTTTGCATATAGATAGCCAGTTGCCCCTGTACCATTTGTTGAAAAAGTAACTATGTTTCCTTTATTACATTGTCTTCGCTCCTTGTTGAGAATCAATTGATCATAAATGTGAGGGTTTGTGTCTAGCTTTTCAGTTCCATTGGTTTTTCTGTTTATTCTTGGGCTAGTATCTCACTGTCTTGTTTACTGTGGCTTTCTGTAACTTTTGAAATTGAGAAGTGTCAAGTGTTTCTAGTTTTATTCTTTCCCAAGATTGCTTTGGCTGTTTTGTACCCATTGCCACTGAGTATCAGTTTTAGGATCAGCTTGTCTAATTGCTCCCCCCCCCCCAATAAAACTGGCCGAGATTTGGTAGGGATTATCCTTATTCTGTGAATGAAATTGAGGAGTATTGAAATGTTAATAATACTGTGTTCCCAAGCCGTGAACATGGAATGTCTCCATTTATTATGTTTTACATAATCTCTTTCAATAGTGTTCTGTAGTTTTCATTGTAAAATTTTTGCATTGCCTTTGTTAGATTTATTCGTAAATTTTTTTTCTTTTTGATTCTATTATGAATGGGATTGTTCATTACTAGGTATATAGAAATACACTTTAATTTTGTATGCTAATCTCAAATCTTAAAATCTTCTGAATTCATCTGCTAGTTCTAAGAATTTATATGTGTGTTCCTTAGGATTTGTTCTGGATGCTCTATAGCGAAAATAGAGATAGTTTTCCTCCTTTCCAATGTGAATGCCTTTTATTTCTTTTTCTTGTCTAATTGCCCTATCTGGTGCCTTCAGTATATTGGTACATAGACATAGCAAGGGCCAGCATCCTTGTCTTGTTCTTGATCTTACAGGAAAGCATTCAGTCTGTGGTTTTTTCTGGATGCCCTTTGTCAGGTTAAGGAGGTTCCCTTCTATTTCTAGTTTATTGAATGTTTTCGTCATTAAAGAGTTTTGGATTCTGTCAAGTGCCTTTCTGTATTGAGATAATCATATAGTTTTGTCTTTTCCTTTCTTCCTCTCTTCCTGTCCTTCCTGTCCTTCCTTCCCTCCCTCCCTCCCTCCCTCCCTCCCCTATTTGAAAAGCAGAATTACAGAGAGAGAAAGAGAGATCTTCCATCCACCAGTTCACGTCCCAGATGGCTGCAGTTGTCAGAGAGGGCTGGTCTGAAGCCAGGGGCCCAAGCACTTGAGCCATCCTCTGCCACTTTTCCCAGGCTATCAGTAGGGCGCTGGATGAAAAGTGGTACAACCGGGACTCAAACCAGTGCCCATATGGGATGACAGCATCACAGACAATGGCTTAACCCTCTACAACACAACACCAGCCCCCTATTTTTTATTTATTTTAAGATTTATTTATTTATGTGAAGAGCAGAGGGGCAGAATAAGCAAGAAAAAGTGAAAACATTTCCTATCCACAGGTTTACTCATCAAATGGCCACAGCCAGCAAAAGCCAGGAGTCTGGAATTCCATCCAGGTTTTCTGCATGGGTAGCAGGGGCCAAGTACTTGGGCCATCCTTTGCTGTCTTCCCAGGCACATTGACAGGGAGCTAGACTGGAAACCAAGCAGCCAAGCTGGAAGCGGTGCTCCAGTGCAGGATTCCAGTGTCGAAAGTGGTGGCTTAACCCACTGCACAACGCTGGCCTCTTGGTTTGTTCTTTTAATGTGCTTTATTAACATCGATAGATTTTTTATGTTGAACCAGCCATGCATTCCTTGGATAAATCCCACTTGTCATGGTATACACTTTTTTGTATTTTCTAAATTTAGTGATTTAGCAGTTTTTTGAGAATTTTCACATCCCTGTTTGTGATGAATATTGAACTGCACTTTTCTCATAGCATGTTTGATTAAGAATTGATATTAAATCTTCCTTAAAAGGTTGATAGGATTCACCAGTAAAGTTATCTGTGCCTTGGCTTTTCTTTTAGGGAAGTTTTGTGGTTATTCTTCTAAGGATTTTATTTTTACAAAAAGTAGTACTATTTCTGCGTATATTCCTGGTTTTCGTAGTTTGAGTTCTCAGATTTCTTTTTTTCTTGTTGGGTTTAAATAAAGATTTATCAGTCTTGGCCGGCGCCACGGCTCAATAGGCTAATCCTCCGCCTGTGGTGCCGGCACACCGGGTTCTAGTACCGGTCGGGGCACTGGATTCTGTCCCGGTTGCCCCTCTTCCAGGCCAGCTCTCTGCTGTGGCCAGGGAGTGCAGTGGAGGATGGCCCAAGTGCTTGGGCCCTGCACCCCATGGGAGACCAGGAGAAGCACCTGGCTCCTGCCATCGGATCAGCGCGGTGCGCTGGCTGCAGCGCGCCAGCCGTGGCGGCCATTGGAGGGTGAACCAACGGCAAAGGAAGACCTTTCTCTCTGTCTCTCTCTCTCACTGTCCACTCTGCCTGTCAAAAAATAAAAGTATCTTCCAACATTTAAAAAAAAAAAAAAAGAGGCCGGCGCCGCGGCTCACTAGGCTAATCCTCCGCCTAGCGGCGCCGGCACACCGGGTTCTAGTCCCGGTCGGGGCGCCGGATTCTGTCCCGGTTGCCCCTCTTCCAGGCCAGCTCTCTGCTGTGGCCAGGGAGTGCAGTGGAGGATGGCCCAAGTGCTTGGGCCCTGCACCCCATGGGAGACCAGGAGAAGCACCTGGCTCCTGGCTCCTGCCATCGGATCAGCGCGGTGCGCCGGCCACAGCGCGCCGGCCATGGCGGCCATTGGAGGGTGAACCAACGGCAAAGGAAGACCTTTCTCTCTGTCTCTCTGTCTCACTGTCCACTCTGCCTGTCAAAAAAATAAAATAAAATAAAATAAAAGATTTATCAGTCTAACTCCTTTTTTAAAAGAACTAACCTTTGATTTTATTGAGTCTCTGTTAGTTTCCTAGTCTCTTATTTATTTCCTGTCTAATCTTTTTTCCTCTAATTTTCCTCTGCTTGCTTTGGGTTTAGTTTGCTCCTTTTTCTGGTTTGATATGATGGGAGATTAGGTTATTGGATATCTGTATTGATACAGATGTTTGTAGCTTTAAGCATCCCTCTAAACATTGCTGTCGCAGCAGCCCCCCGTAAGTTCATTATGCTGGATATTGTTCCCCTTTTTCTCAAGTATTTCCTCGTTTCTCTTGTGATTTCTTCTTTGATCCATTTGTTGTTTAGGATTGTTTTAATTTGCACATTTATGAACTTTCCCAATTTCCTCCCATTGATTTCTAAGGTTATTGCAGTGTGGTCAGAGAACATACGTTGCATAATACAATTTCAGTCTTCGATTTGTTTATGGCATAGCATGGTTTGAGGAGAATGTGTGCTAGTCAAATCTGTTTTTAGCTGCATTGTTGGCCTTCTGCCCAGCTGTTGTATATATATATATATTTTTTTTTTTTAGAAAGATTTGTTTTATTTATTTGAAAGAGTTTACACAGAGAAGAAGAGAGAGAGAGATGGCCGGTGCCATGGCTCACTAGGCTAATCCTCCACCTGTGGTGCCGGCACACCGGGTTCTAGTCCAGGTTGCCCCTCTTCCAGGCCAGCTCTCTGCTGTGGCCAGGGAGTGCAGTGGAGGATTGCCCAAGTCCTTGGGCCCTGCACACCATGGGAGACCAGGAGAAGTACCTGGCTCCTGCCATCGGAGCAGCGCGGTGGGCTGGCCCCAGCACACCAGCCATGGCGGCCATTGGAGGGTGAACCAACGGCAAAGGAAGACCTTTCTCTCTGTCTCTCTTTCTCACTGTCCACTCTGCCTGTCAAAAAATAAAAAAAATAAAAAAAAAGGAGAGAGAGAAGTCTTCCATCTTCTGTTCTCCCATGTGGGTGGGGTGCAGGGACCCAAGCACTTGGGCCATCCTCTGCTCCTTTCCCAGGCACATTAACAGGGAGCTGGATTGGAAGTGGAGCAGCCGGGACTTGAACTGCACACTGCAGACAGGGGCTTTAACCTACTTCGCCACAGCACCAGCCCCTGTTATTGAAAGTGTTGATATTGAAGATGTTAATTATTGTTGTTGAATTGTCAGTTTCTCCCTTTGATGGTTTCAGTTTTTTGTGTATTTGGGGGGCCTTGTTGTTATATATGTTTATAAATGTTGTGTTTTCCTGATCCTTTCCTTTAAAAAAATCATAAAATGTCTTTGTCTGTAGTAATATTATCTTTTTTTGTTTTAAAGGTTTATTTATTTTGAAAGTCAGTTACACAGAGAGAGGAGAGGCAGAGAGAGAGGTCTTCCATCCGATGGTTCACTCCTCAATTGGCCGCAATGGCCGGAGTTGTGCCCATCCGGAGCCAGGAGCTTCTTCTGGGTCTCCCATGTGGGTGCAGGGGCCCAAGTACTTGGGCCATCTTCTGCTGCTTTCCCAGGCCATAGCAGAGAGCTGTACTGGAAGTGGAGCAGCTGGGACTGGAACCAGCGCCCATGTGGAATGCCAGCACCACAGGCAGTGGCTTTACCCACTGTGTCACAGTGCTGGCCCCAGTAATATTATCTTAAAGACTTACTTTTTCTGAGTAAATATAACCAACTATTCAAGCTCTCTTTTGGTTATTTTTTGCATGTTATCTTTCCACCCTTTCATTTTGAGCATATTTGTGGCTTGAGTATAAAATAGGTGTCTTGTAAAAGCATGTAATTGAATTTTGCCCTATGTGTTCTTACTAGTGTAGGTTTAATCTGGGAAAGACCTAGATAACAAACTCATTTTTGTGTTTCCTTATTTCATGGATGAAGTTATTTGTGTTGAATTACATATTTGCCCAGTTGTTAAAGATCATTTCTGGAGGTAATCAAATATAAGGTAGTTGAGATGATGGAAAGCCTCTGTAACATACTAGGAAGGTGAAATTACGTAGCTGCTCTCACCATTTAATATGATATAAATGTTAAGGAGATAAAAATAGAATGCTATGTGTTTTGATTTCAAAATATAATTTGTAATGTTAATAATTGATCACTTGTTTTTTTAGTATGAAGTGTTGAATAAGGAGATTGAGAGTAATGGTTTGGGGCTGGCGCTTTGGCGCAGTGGGTTAAAGCCCTGGCCTGAAGAGCCAGCATCCCATATGGGCGCCAGTTCTAGTCCTGGCCGCTCCTCTTCCGATCCAGCTCTCTGCTGTGGCCTGGGAGAGCAGTAGAAGATGGCCAAGCCCTTGGGGCCCTGCACCCGCATGGGAGACCCAGAAGAAGCTCTCGGCTCCTGGCCTCGGATGGGTGCAGCTCCAGCCGTTGCGGCCAATTGGGGGGTGAACCAGCGGATGGAAGACATCTCTCTCTGTCTCTACCTCTCCCTGTAACTCTGTCTTTCAAATAAATAAAATAAATCTTTAAAAAAAGAGAGAGAGTAATGGTTCAGATTAAGGATTGGCTTTTGCAAATAAGACATGTTTGCTTTTGCCAAGTATGAAAAGAAAAGTAGACTCCTACAGGTGCTTTCATCCTGTCTTCCATGATAATATACTAAAACTCGCTGGAGGTAGCAGTTTCTGTAAGGTTATGTATTTATATCGCATTAGTTAACTTCATTTTTAGTGTCCCAGTGATTTATATATTTTCCTTCTTTTCTTACAGTTAAAGGCATTAGGATTTCCTGAAGGACTTGTGATACAAGCATATTTTGCTTGTGAGAAGAATGAGAATTTGGCTGCCAATTTTCTTCTACAGCAGAACTTTGATGAAGATTGAAAGGGACTCTTTTGTATCTCACACTTCACACCAGTGCATTACACTAACTTTGTTCACTGGATTTGTCTGGGATGACTTGGGCTCATATCCACAATACTTGGTATACGGTAGTAGATGGTTGGGGGTGGGGAGGGAGGGATCTAGGATACAGGGCAGGGATAAATACAGTGCATGTCTGCTTCAAGTAGCAGATGCTGCAGATCCACACAGTGTGTAAAATAGGATACAACCAAAAAATCAGCTTTTGCAGGTCTTTATTTCTTCGATAAAGCAGTAGGTAACTTTTCCTAGGTTTCACTCTTTTTAGTGTACTAGATCCAGAAATTTAGTGTAATGCCCTGCTTTATATTTCTTTGACTTAACATCAGTTTCAGAAAGAGTCTTTGCTACCTAGAATTTCATTCTCTGTTCATGGCAACACTGGATTCATGGCTTTGTGAAATTGAAAAAATTTTGGAGCAACTACAAACAGAAATGCCAAGTTATTGATGGTTGTTGCTGCTTCACATAAGTATAAAATTAATATGTAAGAAAGCCCATCTTCCATGTTAAATACCTGGGGTGGGGGAGGGGAAGAAAGGGAACCTTTTCTTAAAAATGAAAATAATTACTGCTATTTTAAAATTTGCTGATCATTGAGTTGAATGTGAGACCCTTCTAACATGATTTGAGGAGCTGTACAAGTATAGGCAGAGTTATTTTCCTGTTTACATTTTTGTTTTGTTTTGTTTTGGGGAAAAATTGGTAGGTGTCTAATTACTGTTTACTCTATTGTTATATTGCAGTAAAAGTTTTAAAACAACCATTGCATGTTTGCTTTTGGTGTATCCCTTTGTGAAATTAGCACTTTCGGGGCCAATGGAGAAATGCAGCATTCACTCTTCCTCTCTCTTCCCCTTTGTTCAGCAGAAATGTGTTTAGGAACAAGTCATAAGCCAAACTACTGCCTGTTTAAAAAACCCACAGAATGCTGATCCGGTTCAGGATTAATACAAATGTTCAAAACTGGGTTTCTGATACTTGTAAATGTTGTGCTTTATTAGATAAGAATGTATTACCATTAAAGTCATTAGTATTATACTGCTTTCAAAAAGAGAAGATAGACAAAACTGTAAGCCAGCATTTTAATTGCATTGAAGACTGGTGAGATCTTTGGAAGGGTTGGGAGATGTGACTGGAAAGTACTTTGGAAAATATACAATCAAGATATCTCATGGCGTATTAAAAGAAAGATCGCAATAGCAGTGTTGGTTTTTATTTGGAATTTTTTTTTTCAAATTCAGTTTTTTTCTTTGGACTCTCCATTGGCACTGTCATTTCATCATGAGAGGGGCCGTGCCTACTTGTTCAGTTTATCAAATCTGTTTTCCTGAGTATAAACAGTCTATTTAAGGAAATATTTTTTTTCTGCCATCTGATATTAAGATGAATTTGCACAAATATTTCCCTGCGTATATTCTCTTGCAGTGTCCCTAGCACAGTTTGGTGGTGGCTTTTCAGCTTTTACATCATGCGTTCATAACCTGTCTCTTATGAAAATAAACAAAACTCTTGATTTTCCTTCGCAGTGTATCATGTTTAATTTTTAAGTGTTTATTTCATAAACATAGCAAGCTTTTGGACTCCGTGTTACCTGTTTGCTTTATAATGAATTATGCATAATGTCTCGAGAATGAGATGAGGATTCATAAAGATGTTCATCTTTCAAGGCAATGAGTTGGCAAGGGGGTGACATTTCTGGTCAGATAATGGAATACACTCAATTGTTTTGTGACAGTTTTTATGTGCTACTTTATTGCTCAGTGCATTGTGAAAACTGGAAACAAACAGCAGCCACTTCTTTGGAAAGTGACAGCAGAAGTTGGTGACATGGAGCATTTGTCCTTGGACAACGGAACTACAGATAGAATTGATAATTACCAGAAGACAGCTCAGGCCAAGTTTTGATCATTCTTTACAGTACCTCAGCTGAGGCACCATACAAGAAATGGGCTTTTGGTACCTTTTGCTGTTATTGTTTAATTTACAAATAGATTTTGCTAAATCTCAATGTAAGTGGCTGTTTGACTTTGGAATTTTGCATTCACGGTATACTGTCATCTATTTCTTGAATTTTTAATTGTTCAGTTGCTCTGTGGAAAATGTGAGGAAGCTAAAGTTTATATTTGTGAAATTCTGTGCCATCCTCTAGTCAAATATTTCTTTTTGTTTAAAAATACTGAAGTGTTCCACCGTATAAATTTTTCCTGTACTAGATGGCCAAGATTCTAGAGATTTGATTATAAAATATTTTCAATACATCCAGCATTGCATTTCTCATTTTTTAAGTGATTGTTTGCTAGAATCTTAGATTGAAAATTGACAATCTCTCTATCACCAATACTTTTCTTCAGTACGAATGTAGCATAATAGCAAGCCAGGCACTGGTTCTTTGCTCAGCTGACACATGAACACAGAGAGGGGATACTTCATGGAGTGCAAATCAAGGTTCATGAGTGCTTTAGAGATTGCACTAGAGTTTCTGGGTTTTTCCATTATTGTCTTAAAGTAGCCAGCCAGAGAGGCGGATACAACACCTCCTTCCAGCTACACCCCCCCCCCCCCAATAGCAGTTCCAGGGAATGCGGCATTCCTAAGGAAGTCTGCTTTGTAAGTTCTGCAGCCATGAGGTTTGGGTGCCGGTTTCAGATATCCTCCCCTGTGAATTTTCCACTTTGTTCTGAACCTCAGTGAGTGAAATCTTGCTTACCTCCTGTTGTCTGGTCCAGATGCTAAGAATGCTCTTTACGTTTAAGTGTTCTAGGAAACAAAAATTGTTAAGTGAAAATGGTGGTTCACTTTTCAGTGTCTGTAATAGTTTTGTTGAAAAACATAGCCATGCTTGTTTATGTATATATTGTCTATAGCTGCTTTTGTATTACAAAAAAAAAAATTGATTTTGAGTAGCTGTCATGGCTTACAAAGCCTGAATAATTATCAGACTCTTTACCAAAAAAGTTTGCCAGCCCTGTAAATTTGTAAATTTAGTCCATCATATGTAAAATTGTATGATGTTCTGTAGTCCTTTTTGGCATTTTTGGACTCTTGGCTTTAGTTAAGTTTCTATATAGTAACACTTCTAGTTTCTCCTTTCAGAGAAAGGTGCGTTGTGTGTCTGACACACTAGCCTAGTGATTCTAAATGACCGTCTTGAAATTACTCTGCTATTGCTACATTGTTCAAAAAGCTAGGCTGTCGCTATACTGTTCCTTGTTAGAGTAAAATAATAAAATTTGTCACTGAGTACACTGAAAAGCAGATGACATAGTGACAGATCAACCGCAGCCTTAGAAATATCAGATGGCCCTGGAGTCAAGGTTAGAGCATTGGGAAGAAAAATATCCACTGCTGGCAGAGAATGAGTAGATCCACAGAGGGCAGAGTGTAGGACTTGTTTGGGTGATGTGCATTTGCCAGGACTGAGTAGCTAGAAATGGGACGGGCACTTACAAGGAGGCAGGGAGCAAAGGCTTGCACTTGGTAGGAGGAAGCACTGTGAAGGTTTGGGAACCGCAAGGATGGTGGGAGAGAATGACGGCTGTCGAGAGCCTCGTGTCCTGGTGTAGTTAGGCTTGGAAGCAGTAGTCCCTCAAGGAAGGGCTTGCACTGTGGAAAGGAGGCTGGGAGGATCAAAGGAACAGTGATGATAAACTGGCTTTGTGTGTGATGTGATGGAACCAGAGTGGTCTCTGCCTTTGAGTGTGGAATACTGTGTGACAGGCTATTTGAAGAAATGCATCCTTGCACCTAGCTTACCTTCCAGGAGCAGAAATTAGGAAGCAGCCCAGACTGTGGCCCTTGGTCTCCATAGGGGATTGGTCTCAGAACCTCAGTGGTTCCTTCCATGTCACTTACATGAAGTGGTGTAGTATTTGCATATGACCTATACATGTCCTCTTGTATACTATAAATCATCTCTAGGTTAAGCATGATGCCTGATAGAATGTAAATGCTATGGAAGTAGTATTGTTCAAGTGTGTGCTGTTTGATACAGTTTTCTGATTATTTTCCATCTGGTCAGTTGAATTATGGATAATGAAATCATATTTCCATGATGAAATGATTGGGAGCTCTGTCCTACACTTGTTCTCCACATGGGATTTGTGTAAATCAGGTTTCTCCAGAAAAATAGAACCAATAGAGTGTAGAGTGGGGTAACGGGAATTGGTTTTTGATTATGGAGGCCTTAAAATCCCATAAGTGGTCTGCACGCTGAGCTGGTGGTATGATTCACTCTGAAGCTGAACCCAAGAAGCCAAGGCAAGGGAGCGGAGGAGGGCACTGGGCTTGGGAGCCAGGAGTTATGTTCAAGGGCAGTAGATGGATGTCCCAGCTCAGAAAGTAGCTCAGCTGTTCTTGTGCCTTTTCTGTTCTGTTCAGACTCCTTCAGGTTGCATGGTGCCAGCCCACCTGGTAGACAGTGGTCTGTTGTACCCACTATGCTGACTGAATTGCTAATTTCTGGAGTTTGTTGAGACACCCAGGAATAACGTTTACCATCCATCTGGGCATCCCTTAGTTTATTTGGCACTAGAATTAGCCATCACAGTTCCCTTAACCTGTAACTAGTCCTCCACACTTAACTGTATCACCAGGATTGGTACTGCCAGTTGCTTTGCCACCTTGACACTCGGGATGTTCGATGTGGTTACTGGGTTAGGTTATTGACAGCTTCCGCCTCTTTAACTATAAATATGAAAATGGTCTAAAGCTACTTTTAAAGTGTTTAGCTGCACAATTATAGGAGCTATGTGGAGTTCGTGTGCAGTAGCAGATAGAATGTATGATACATTGCATCAAAATTTGTTGAAAATCCAATGAGAGTGAATCTTTGATGGTGGCACCATGCCTTACAATAGCTTAAGGGTTGGGGCTCTTGTTTATTGATTGATTTAATGAACACTGGGAGCATGTTTGCAATTTTTTAAGTATCTTAGTCCACACTATTTTAGTGTCCACCCCATCCCCCAATTTCTTTCTGGTCAATGTTTCTTATTGTTTGACAACATTTTGACTAATTTTCATATTGTCTCCAATTCTCAGGAAGTTATCTGCAAGCAAAGTTAAATATTTTCACTATTTATTACTTACTATTTTGGTTGTAAAATAGTTCTGCTCACATCTTTGTGATTTTTATGCCATTTTTACGGAGTATTAACCATGTTTTCATCCTTAAAAAGTTATTTCAGACTTACAGATAGATGGCAGAACAGTCAAAAGAGATTGCATATACCTCACTGCCACCTCTGAGAGCCCTCTTGGGTTTTGCAGTTGTCTCAACAGTGTAGTCAATAGCAAAAGGGTCCAACCCAGGCTTGCATGCTGCGCTTAGTCCCATTCAGTCCACTTCCTTGATCTTCCTTCACAGCCTGAAGTGTTTTGTTTTTGGTTTTGTTTTTTAAGATTCCAGGATGTACAGAATGTCCCTATGTCCATGTTTGACGTTCCTCATCACTAAACTCCGGGTATGCATTTTTGGAAAAAACACAGAAGTGCAGATCTGCTGTCCTCCTGAGACCCAGGAGGTGGCGCGGGGTTCCGCCTGTTCTGTCCTTGGTCGTGTTCACTTGGCCACTTGAGGAAGATGGTGTCTGCTAGATTCTCCCCTGCAGAGCTAACTCTGCCTTAGTCGGGACCAAGTATTTTGGAGGGACATACTTTGAGCCTTTGTGAATGTTTTTTCTCCCACAAACGTTGTGCTCATTAGCACCCACTGATAATTCCAGATGGATTCTTAATATTATAATTCCTATATTGGTTGCCAGTGGTGATGTTCAGATTCTGTGATTCCTTCTGTGGTTTGACCCCCAGGGTCTGTGTGTCAGATATTCGAGTCTGAGTGTGGTGTTGAGGTGAGGACTGGTGAGTGGCCCTCACACCAGCTTGGGTGTGCCCCCAGAAGGAACTAAGGTATTTATTTATCCTGGGGCCCTGGTTAGTTCTCAGGAGCCTTAGAAAAGCCTGAGACTGACCTCCGTAGGCTGTCTGCTTCCTGTTCCCAGGTGCTCCTGCTGTTGCCAGTTGCCATGATGTGGCAGTTGAGAGCTGAGCCAGTGCCAATGTCATGCCCAAAACAGGTTAATAACCCTTTTCTCCATAAGTAGCCTGATAATACAAAACTGATGAATACATACACATTTATTTGTGTTCTGTGTTCTGGCTTTCTTTTCCCCCATTTAGAAATATCTACTGGACTCATTACTTTTTTTTCAATAGTACACAATTAATGTAGTTATGTTGATTAAATTGTCCCTAGATTTGCCATTATGTGCTCTCAAGGCTAGCCTCTGTGTTTTCTTTTTCTTTCCTTTTTTTTTTTTTTTTTTTTTTTTTTTTTTTTTTGACAGGCAGAGTTAGAGAAAGGTCTTCCTTTTTTCGTTGGTTCATCCTCCCAAATGGCTGCTGCGGCCGGCGTGCTGCGCCGACCCGAAGCCAGGAGCTAGGTGCTTCTTCCTGGTCTCCCATGCAGGTGTAGGGCCCAAGCACCCGGGCCATTCTCCACTGCAGTCCCGGGCCACAGCAGAGAGCTGGACTGGAAGAGGAGCAACCGGGACAGAATCCGGCGCCCCAACCGGGACTAGAACCCGGGGTGCCAGTGCCGCAGACAGGATTAGCCTAGTGAGCCGCGGCGCCAGCCCCTCTGTGTTTTGACAGTCCTTATCCCTCTTAAATACTTCCTTCTGCCACAATAATATATTCCATTGCTCTTGTACTTTCTCTTTTGCTTGTAAAGATTTGTTGGTTTATATATGTGAAAGAGATCTTCCATCTGCTGATTCACTTCCCAAATGGCAGCAACATCTAGTTGTGAGCCAGGCCAAAGCCAGGAGGAGCTAGGAACTCCATCCGGGTCTTCCACATGGATAGCAGGTGCCCAAGCACTTGAGCCATCCTCTGCTGCCTTCCCAAGCACATTAACAGGGAGCTGGAGGGTAAGCAGCGACCAGGACTCAACGGGCACTGGTGCTTCCTGTGTTTCAGCTTGGGGAATCAGCTGTCTCTCCAAGAAGCTCTTAATTCCTTCAATGGAGATTGTGTTTAGAAACCAAAACCTTAACTCGAGGTGTGTTTGGTGCTATTGGCATCTCACTGCTCCCAAGCCATCTTGGTGGACACAGAAATAAATACATTTACGTCACATACTGGGGGGCTCATTGTGGTGCCATCCATCGTAATCCAATGGCACAAGGTTCAGTTATCTTCTTGCCTTGTTTCTAACTACTTTCTAGACCTTGAGAAACTGGTTCCCATTATTCTCAGC